CGGAATAATTTTTCCATGGGCCGACAGTGGTCTTTCCATACCTTTAGTAGGACTATCGATTGCATATAATCAGACCTTCCCGGCTTTAAGTCGTGTATAAAGTGGGCGGACCTGTGCGGAAGTACCCGGCTTCAGAATAAATCGGTCACTTAGTATTTTGCTCATATCTCAGTTGAATTTTATCCCCTAAGCTTCATTATTTTCTCAAAAGATGTGCCGTGAAATTCTCTACAAACCGTAAAGATAAAAGAATATAGAAGAAATACTGCGAAGCTTCAATCTCGGTTACTTTGCAACGCAAGAAACAATGAAAACAAAATTTTTCTGATTATATTGAAATACAGTTTTTTATGCACTCAGTTGAATGCACTCAAATATAAACCGCGGAAACTCATTTAATTCACAGGAAAACATACATCAAAAACTCGTTTTGTGAAAGCCATTTAACTTATAAAACTGTTATCAATGTCAGAATTATGCAAACAAAATAAGCCATTTGGTAGAGAATCGAATTCTCTATCGAACAGCATAGTTTTGAAGTTTTTTTAAAAAATGTCTACGTAAAGAAATTAAATTTATAATATCCCAAAATTTGAAATTTAAATTTTCATCTTTAAAATTTCTTTTCGCATTAAGACTATCATGATCCTAATATACACAAAGCTAGATTAATATGTCCATAATAATACTGATTTTGTACACAAAAGGATGGCGTCTACAAATATTCAGAGTGGTCAAAATAACAAATTATGTGTTTGTATAAAACAATAGGCAAAATGATTTTAATGGATGAACCAGCAACAGTTCAATACTCAGTCAAGAATGGCAGAATATCGAAACAAATTGAGAATGCTAGAAAATTCATGCTAATTGGAGATGAAACGGACTCTTTAATCATTATATTATGGACAATTCAAGCAAACATTTTAGAGGTCGGAAAATCGTACCTGCTCAAGAACGTCAAATTACAAGAATTTTACAATCCGTTATCAGTACAGACATTTTGAAGAAATATCAGAAATAAAGCAAGGTGGTACAATTACAAAATTCTTGGTTAAGCACACTGATGAAAAACTATCAAGCAAAAAAATTTTGATGTAGACAACTTTCACTTCACTAAAAAGCTTTTAGTTTACATTAGGGAGCGAAATAGATCCACTCTGGTATGGAGCCTTTCTAACTTCAGAGCACGTCTAGGTCCCAAAAAAATTGAGAAAGATCTTAAACAGTAGTAAATGTTAACTTTCGTTTGATTGACTTTAATAGAACAAACAGTATAAAACATATCAATAATAAAACTAATAGATCGTTTTTACATTATAATGAAGCTTATGGAGGTAGTTTGGTGGCCAGTTTAGGACTGGATGTGCGACTGCTGCTGTGTATTGTGCTGGTGATCCAATAACGCAAAAGTTCTCCATTGAGAAGGAACAACAGCATCTAGCCGTCTGCCAGGACTGGACTGCTTGCCGTAAAATCTTTGAGCTTCAGTAGTCCTGTGCAAATTGCTGCTGATTCATCGCATACAGCCAGCGATTACTGGATCCGTGGGACAAACAATGATCATTTTAACGGCACAGTATGGCCCGTTGCTTACGAGAAAGCAAAGCAGCTCACAGGTGGTCTTTATAATCTATTAAATTCATAGAGCTTGCTTGTATTCGCTATCAACAGCCACATGCTCATAGCATTGTTTCTCAAATACCTGCAGCAATTGGCGCTAAACTCAACTCAATACTCATTTTAGGATACAATTGCACATCAAGAGTACTCAACTATATATACATACTTATTTAACTATCTATTTCGAAGCTAAAACTGACGCAGACAGAATTACCCGACTACTATCATTACACAGTCTCTGTTATCTTTTTTTTGTAGATTTTTCCAACTTTTAAATTATCTTACATATATACTTCCAAAGCGAACTGCGTATATGCGCTATAGGACACTAATGGGCTTATATTTATTTGTTATTTGATAAAGCTTAAAGTGCTAATTCGAACGAACTGTTTTCAACTAATTTAGCGTTATGTTTATATAAAGATATTGCGTTATGAAATAAGTTATTTTTTACATTCTCGAAGCTTTGAAAAACCTAGTTATGTCCATTTACACCGTTTTTAACACCGATCAGATAAGCATACGTTTGCCAATAATATTTGACACATTTGGTTTTAAGTGACCGAACTAGAAAAAAAAATTTAGGGTTTTTTCTGCTCTCAGACGAGTGAAGACGCGATAGTTTCTATTTGGCTCATAGACAGCTGAAACTTGTCCAGAGAAACGCAGCTAAAAGTGATTTAGATATGAGGAAGAAAGACAACGGAATTTGGTTTTAAATTGTTTTAAGCGATCATGCATTCTGTAAAGAAAAACAATCTCCATTTATACAAAAACAACAGAGAAAATTTATTGATCTGTAGCTCGGGATGAAATACTACTGCATAACTGCGGAAGTAATAGTATTACACTTGTGAATTTCGTATGATATGCTAAAATAATAGCAAATTTTCACTTTCTGAAAATCGAATATTTCATTATCGGACTGGTTTACACAGTTTTCATTGGTTTACAAGAATATGGGTAATAAACATCTGATTATCCTACATTACCGAATCTTGACTCTTCCTCCTACATCAATACTGACTGAAGACTAAAAGCAGAGTCACACCAGATCTTGGTAATCAGAAGGTATTAAGCCAAACCCAATACAGGTTTTGATCCGCCGCGAGAAGCTCTATACAACCTGATATATAACTTTTTGGTTTGACATACTTTTGAAATCTGACAGGATCCTTTTATGGTTCGTTCTACACGTCGCGGTTTTGAGGTTTTTTTCACAAAACAATATTTAACATAGATGATTTCAACTATGATAACAAAACTGATTTAGCTGGTGGGGCTTCAACGGGAGGTGCAAGAGCAAAGTCAGTTTCCTTATCATTTCTGGAATCAACTGTTGACACAAAAGATAGAGTATGCAAAGTTGTATATGTTACTTCGTTTCGAATTGTTCCATTACCATTTATCCAGCAATATACTGACGACAGCACTAAAATAATTCGCAACAGCTAAATGAGTAAGGGTAACGGAATATTTCAAAAACAAGTAACATATCCAACTTTGCACACTCCATCTTCTGTAGCAATAGCTTATCACGATTGAAATAAGTTGTGAATTGAAGAATGAAGTGTCCTCTACAAAATAAGACCATTCTCAGTTCCCCACGACTTTGCGTTGAGGAAGTATAAAGTTTTTAAAGTCTGTTACTTTACGCTGATGAAAAACCCTATCTTCCACTTCCGGAAAAAACATGTCTCTACTAGGATCAAACTATAGAGGAGCACGCAAATTAAGTGTATTGTAAAAATTCGGATAATTACGTCATATGTTGGAATTCATAAAATCTGTTATGCATAATGGAAACTCCTATTGACATTCCAAGTCAGACTCTTATGGTGAATCGTCAGTGCCATCAACACCATCTGTAAATGTATCTGTATGATTTTCTTCAGGTGAACGTCCAGACATTAATGTATCTAGTGAATATCGGTCGTCACCAAGTTTGAATCATCTGTTTGATGCTGAATATATAATGTGTATAAAAGAAGAAGCAGCGACAAGTTTAGTTGATTTGAAAAATAGCATACTTCTTTTTCTGCTTGGAAAGATCATGTTAGAAAGAGTACACAAAATTACTTATAAAAAGAAATTTATAGATTGGAGCAAGACTTTAGAGTTGTCAGTAGCAATTAAGTATTTTAGTCAGATTAAATCGCTGTTAAATGCGTGTTGTTTCGGAAAAATAAGTATACATTTTTTCTTTTCTTGAGTTCTTTCCTTCACGATAGGAGATAAAACCGACTATTGCTCCAATAACTATAGCACCTACTATTACACCAATAACAATACCAGCAATTGCTGCATCACTTAAACTAGAACCTTAAAAAGCAGAAGACAAATCACTTAGTTGTTAGATACGCTTAACAGACTAAGTCAACATACCATTCGATGATGATCGTGATGTGATTGTTGAGCTAGTGGTAGGAGCTGTATCAACAGTGCAAGTGCTAAAGTTTGCATTACAGTAATTTGATATACAATAACATGATATGTACGTAAAATTTTGTATTCCATCTTGAACGAATAAGCTGCTACTACTCTCATTGTATGTTGATGTATTAACATATGTCAGATAGTTATATAACGTGGAAAGCAAAAATTTTTCATAATTTTCTGGTGGATAAGCAACTTGATGCGATGACGTGGAGTTTTCTGAAGTAAGACTCCAAATTGAACATAATACAGTGTTTGTTTCCATATAATCATTGCATGCTGTATAATTTATTGATTGATCAAGTTCTTGACAGTAAGTATATCTGTTGCTTGATATATATCCAGAATCCTGACATGAAATCGATGTCGACAGATATGGCAGAAATGTTGCTAATGGTGCCGGCTGAACCATGCTGACCGATAACTGACAAGTTTGCAAGTTATTGTTACAATTATTGGTTGCACAAATACATAAAAAAGGACTAACAACTGTTTCGTAGGATAACGGGCTACAATATCCATAACCAACATCCGTTGTATTTGAAAAACCTCGGCAACGTTCCGACATTCGTCGATATGTATTCAAAACAGTAGTACTACTAAAATCAATTTGTTGAGGCAAATTTTCATTAGAATAATACATTATAAGTACACAGTACTGGTAATTACCATAAGATGGTGTGTAATGTCGATCAGCATTATCCGCTCCACTAATTGTTCCGTAATAACAAGATATATTCCGTGTTATTATATTTGTAGTATATGTTGAATTAACCGATAATGTGAGAAAACTGTTCGTTTGATCAACATAATACGATACAAGTAAAAATTGTATAAAAGACATCATTGTAATAATTTTGTACATGATTGTGGCAAAACTCATTTTTTCTGAATATATAAACTCCATAATAGTTTGATTGCAAACATTACTCTTTTATTATTTCTTCGTTTGATTGCTCTTTTACAGCTTCTCAATACTTACTCTCTTAATGAATTGGTGTTTCTTTTTTTGAAAAAGTCATATGGTGACA